GAGGCACCACGGCAGCCACAGCAGCAACAGCAGCCACAGCAGCAGCAGCAGCAGCGGCAAGCCTGCCTTCTTTCTGTCTCTTTTGTTCCACGAAGGCTACAAGCCTTTTGGGGGGTGCCATCCACACCCTGGGTGGGTTTTCTGCTGTATGTAAAATAGCCACACCCAGAACCATGCTCATTCCAATCAATGTTACTAATTTAATACCACACACCCTAGATCCCTCCAGCTCCAATAAACTCCACCTATGAGTGCATGAGGCTTTGGGGAGACATCTAGATATAAGCCATAACAAAATATATCACATGTGTAGTGTAAAAAAATCTGAAAATGACAGAAATCTTTAAGAAAATTTATGTTACCCTTAATTTTATAATTCAGAAATAAATGTTGCTATTGTTTGGGTATATTTTCTTCTAATTTGTTTCTAGCTTTTGCAGCATAAATAAAATCCATGTCAATGTACACATGTTGTAATATATTTTAAATGAAAAATATATCAAGTAATTTTCATATCATTAAACTGCCCTCTAAAACTTACTATTGAGTGTTCACTATGTGTTTCATTTCCGTGTGAATGTTAAGCTTTAATATTTTAACTATAAAAGCAATACATGTTCATAGTAATATTAAAAATCTAAATGATTGAGAGAAGAAAATATTGATTACCCACAGTCTTGCTTTTGCAGATAGATGTAACTGCTCCTGCTGTAGCACATGTTACATGGTAGTGTAATTGCACGCATTTCTGTCTGACCCTGACCCTGATGGCTCCAACCTTTGTGACTTTAGCACTTAGTTCAGTGCCTAGAGCATGTAATTAGTGTTTAACATACTTCTATTGAATGAATGAATGCATGGGTGTTTAAATGAAAAGCATTAACAAATATATGAATGAAGAATCTGCAAAGATTTAGTTCATGGTGGAATAAAAATACATTTCAGACTCAGCAACTTACTGTCGATTGAGAGACAAGGTAGCTAAACTAAAGCCCTTAATGAATTGGAGCCTGCTCTTTCTGTTCATCTGAATCAGCCTCAAGGCAGAGAATTCAATTTAATTTTTTTTCCATCAGTCAAACTGAAGAGCTGAAAAAGCAAAACTAGGGACAAAGGAGGCAGGAGGTGGAACAGGCTTGGAGGAGGAGATCGACATTGCTATTCTTTCTGGCTTAGGAAAGACGTAGGCGAGGGAGCCATGCTACTTCTACCACTTTTTTTAAAAAAATTATTTTAAAGATAAAAGAATGAAAACATATTGTGGACCCTGGGAAGCACTCTCTTGCCAACACAATCCTCCATGCTGGAAGAACCTATCCTCTCCCTGGAGGATGGAAAATTCCAAACCTGTTAGAATGGTGCTTATAATTTTCACCTGCCTTTTCTCTAGAGGAAAATGCAATCGTGCTGGGTTTTATTTGATGGAATTGGGGGTTATGTTTGCTATGATTAGAATCAGGGCTGACACAGTTGGGTTTTCAGGTTGTAGAAGTTGCCATAGTCTCTCCTACATTTAATTGGGAAACCCATGTCTTAAGGTGAGTAGGGGTCCCCACAGACACCTGGCATGAGAAGGAAAATGGACCATTTCCTACCTGGAGAATTCAGTTCTTGAATTAAAATTCTCAAGTGCACAGGTTCCAGATGCTTTCCATGCACATATAGAGGAGTAGAATAATAGAAAGAGAAACAGGAAGATAAATGAACAAATAATTTCTCCCTCCTTTGGCCATCAAAGTCTTCATGTCTTTTCTTTCTTCTAAATGCTCTTCCACAAACCAGGCTCAAGATGCTGCCCACATTGGCACTTCTGCTTTTCACTTTAACACCGTGAGTCCCTATCCAGTGTCTCTTCTATACACATCACTGTCTCTACAGCTTAAGACACACGTCTCCAGAAAACCTGGCTGTTGTGTTTCTACCCCTGTGGATCTCTCTGGTCTCTTACCTTCTAGAGTTTCAGCTCCATTTTCTCTTCTGATGCAGTATTCCCATATATATGTTTGGAGTCAGGGATAGGTTACACTTTTTTTCTTCCTAAATAGTTGAATGTGAAATACAGAAAGATAAATGCTACGTGATCTCACTTATATACGGAATCTAAAAAAATTACCTCATAGAGCAGGTGATTACCAGAGGACCAGGGTTTGGGAGTGCAGCGGGAAAGTGGAGATTTGATCAATGCACACGTTTCAGTTATACGGGAGGAATAAATCCTAGAAATCCATTGCAAGGAGTGGTGACTTTACGAAAGGTTTTGTGCACTTTAAAATTTTTAAACAAGATTTTAAAAGTTTTGTTTCCAAAAATGATATAGAAATTGATGAATTTATTAATGGGCCATGTAACAATTAGCACCGCATCCCACAAAATGCAAACATATGTCAAATCATCACACTGTGCCCCCAAATGTATAATACATACAACAATTACTCAATTAAAGATAAAATAATTACATGTGGTTTTCTGTGCTATATACTGTAGTGGGTTTAGAGTCAATATTGCTTTATTTATTAAGTTGCTGAATAAGAAAGTGACTAGGGAGAAATAGAGAATATAACCTACTTTTCCCATGTACAGAATTGGATACCCATAGGAGTTAGAACTTATTCATGAAATAAGAGCTCAGTTTACATAAATACTGTGAGAATTGGTGGTGAATCGATGTAGAATGGTAAAAACTTCAAACAGCTAAATGAGGATCAACACATGGTCTTCCAAATAGTTGCTGTAGTATTCATACTTTATCTATACATAAATTGAAATACACATCCCTGACCACATTTTAGGCTATTCTGAGGAATATATTTTATATATATTACTACATAAAGAGATTTTTTATAGTGCCATGTTTAACAAATATTTCCTGTATTAAATTGAAATGGCCCCAAATTTTGAGCATTGAGTCCAACCAAAAAAGTTCTGAGTCTTTCAAAAAAAATTAATTCCTTTTTAAAAATCATTTCTTTCATTTTCCCTTCCATCCTTCTCCCATCGCCCTCCATAGTTCCTCTTTCCTTTTGAACAATTTCTTTCTATTTCACAATATCGATTGTACATTTTCGTCCTTATTTACTCTTTTCAGTTTCTCATACCGGGGAGAAGGGAGGGGATTGGGGAAAAAAGCAGAATCAAAATCTATCACATACAAGTACAAATTCCCTATGATGAATATGATCTTTATGTATATCTAAACTGTACCAATAAACTTAATTAAAATAAGAAATTACTTCCCCATAAGTTGTAAGGTTATGTGCTTAGAACTTTACAGATGGCCGAGTTACCTGGGTGTGATGTTCTGTCAGGTGAGTGCTAGCGGTGATGTTAGTTCAGGAATGTGCTTCACCTGACCCTATCTCTATGGATTCAGGGGCTAACTGCTTCAGGATTCCATACCTGTGAGCATTTGTGGGGAACAAAACATAAATGTGGTGGAATTACCATGATAAACTAGGCAAGGATTTCATGGAGAGATACTTAAGCCAGGCATCAGAAATCTGAAACCCTTGTTTCTTGGAACAAAGTTTGAACTCCTTGTAGACTGAGTTTCATGGGAATTGAGGTTGAGTGCTCATCTGCTATGTGACAGCATTGTACAACCACCGGTATACCTGGTTAACAATGCACAATCCCTACCTCTTTTATAACTCATCCTAGCAGTGGGGAAGGACATGCCTACCAGAAATAACTTCTGGCAGATAGTAAATATAATGGTGCCACCATGAATACAGTGATCAGCTCTGTTTGGGAAGATCATAGAACTCCAGAGAGCAGCAGTTTAAGTGACTAATGCACACTCAGTTTAAGTGACTAATGAACACTCTCTCTAGAACTCATATATATGTGAAAGGGTGACATTGGCGAATTGCTATTATTATTGTTCTGTTGTGAGCCAGGTTCAGACATTGTACTGAATTTACTTAACTGACTGTAAGTCCTGGTTAGTCTCTCACAGTTTGCTGGCCTATCCAAAGTTTGTTCTATAGGGTGAGAATCTATATTCATGAAATAAGTGAACATGGGGTCTGACTCCATTAACCATGCAGGGGATCAGCTTTTGTTTTGCCAAGTCCTGGAAAACATCTGGAATTGTTCCTCTTTCATGAGTTGCTATCCATTATATAAGCCTGTTTTACTTATTTATGCAGCAGAGAGTTCATGAACATTTTGTGTATGTTCAAGAAATGTGAAAATAGCTAAATAACAAATATGAAAGCTGTAAGCATATATTATACCATGACCCATGATGACTGTTTTATAGAAACAAAAGATGAGAAAGAAGAGATACGTGGGCTGGAGTGGTTAGAAAAGGCTTTTTGTGGAGGAAGCCACACCTGTGCTGACCTTGCGTGCTGGAGTAAATTTACTTAGACGTAGGGGTGGCTTATCCTTGCCTGCTTCCAAAGATGTGGGCGTAGAAATGAGCCTGGTATCTCTGGTGGCATTGAGGAGTTCCATTTCTAATTATCAATAGTATATCAAAGCAGTAGGAGAAAAGTGAAAGATCATATTTTGCAAATAGCACTGGCTTAGCTATCATTTTTATGTATGTGCATAATGTATACACACGCGTCCCACTTTTCCTGGAAGCACAGAATCTGCCCCTCCCTTGTCTTCGTGTCCCTCAGTGTGCCTTGCCTGAAGCAGTTGTTCAGTAAACAGCTTCTAATTAAATGTTACTGAATTGTTCAAAATGTATCTAAAGACTATATAGAGTTTGCAGGAAAAAGAGAGCACAGTTTTACTGAAGACCATGCTCCTAATGGAGATAGTGATGGTATGGGAACTACATTTATCCTCAGCTCAGACAAGGTTGATTGTGCACCTACATGGTCAAGAAAAGCATGGCACACTCATATTCTTATTTTTTATCTAGGTAACTGGATGCCCGCTTGGGTGTGCTGGCAGGCTTTGTTGGAATGGTCCCAGGACGGGCACCTGTACTCATACTCAGTGGTGGCTCTTGAAACTTACATTTCCCCCACTTCCTTGTTTTGCAGCTCTACAGCTCCATGGACTTTGGAAGACGGTGGCAACTCATGCATGAACGCATCACGCCTAACAGGTTTTACTGGTAAGCCCCATCCGCACACTGATCGCCCTCTTAGGTGAAGAACTTTGAGGCAGCAGAGGACCCTGGGCAGTACTGGGCAACTCCAGCGCTTGGAGACCAATGTGTTACAACTCTTTGCTATCCAGGGAGCAGTTCATGGAGCAGCAGCAGCACCACCCACTAGGAACTGTCAGAAATGCAAAATCTCAGGTCTCCTCGATATTTATGGACCTGTGATGTGTATTTGACATGCTTCCTGGGTGGTTCTTGTGCGCTTCAAAGTTCAAAAAATACTGCGCTGCTGAAGGGTCATGACCAGGCATGCTTCACTATGTACTCAGGCTGAATTCCTCTCTTTTTGAAACGTATATATTTTATGGACCTAAACTAGAAGCTATATTTCCCAAAATGTGCTCTGAAGAATACTTAATTCCACAAAATGTTTCTCCTATCATAGTCAAATAAATGTCGGTCAGATTTACCCAACTATGTGTTCCTGGAGACTCAGGATTTACACTGGGGTACTGAGGACTGGGAAGGAAGAAGCTCCCAAACCTGCCGTCACAGGTTCCCAAACCCACTTCACTACGGACTTTAGCCTTTTCTTATATCACACCTGCTGAGCCTTCCAGAACTATCTCTGTAGTAGGTATTTTGGAAAATCTCTTTATAAGAAAGAATCCAAGCTGGGCAAGGTGACACATGCCTGTAATCCTAGCACTCTGGGAGGCTGAGGTGTGAGGATCACTAGGGATCACCAGTGAGGGGTAATGAGGGGCAGAGAACATAAAAATAAAGAAGGTGCGCTATGTACCTGTGCCATCTCCCAAAATGAATGTAATCACTGTACACCCGAGGCATATACTAATACAAATAAAAAATTAAAAGGGCTACGAATGTAGTTCAGAGAAAATCCATATTTCAAATGGAAAATGAGCTTGTCCTTCTAACAGGAAGTGTTTTTTTATTAACTGATGTCCCTTGATTCATGCATACTGTTTCACCCTGGTTTCACAAATTGAGTATAAATTTGCCGTATCATTTCCTTGCAGTTCTTTGAAAATGCTTCCTACACATATCTCATTTTCATTTCAGCAGAGATGAGAAACAAATGATCAGAGATGAGGAAACACACCAAAGTATATAGTATACATGATTATAGGCTTAATTTAACCTATTCCTATCTCTTTTTCAATATCTTATTTCAATTTCTTTAGAAAGTCGTGTGTAGGGGCTGGGGATTTAGCTCAGTGGCAAAGTGCCTGCCTGGCAAGTGCAAGGTCATGAGTTCGGTTCCCGGTACCAGAAAAAACCCAAAAAAAAAAAAAAAGAAAGTCGTGTGTAGCAATTTTTGCATTACATGACACCTAGCTTGTGTATGTGAGGGTGGGGTAGTGGTGACAAACATCTTAGAAATACAGTCACACTGGCATCTTTGCAAGCAGTGGCTTCCCCTTGTTCTCTCTGCATCCACAAAACTGCGTCCAGAATTAAAAGTGATGATTGCCTAAGCATGCTGTGAAAACCAGCGGCTTCACTGTTCATGGTACAGGGTGGAGAAGAAAGAGGGAAGAGACTTGGGAGTATTGCTGCCCACTCAATATCTGGTCTGTCCCCAATATGTTTGTTTCTTTCAGAGACCAACTATTGTCTCATCTGGAACTCTTCTTACAGTATTAAGACTCAGGGGTGGGAGGGACAGCAGCAGCAGTATTAAATGGTGTTTGTTTGGAACTACTAAAAATTTCAAAAGACTGAGGCAAAAATGGAAATGTTTGAATATTTGTTTCTCTGATACTCCAACTATATAAGTATACCCTTTGCTCAGCTTTAACATACCCATTTTGCAGTGGGCCCTTGCTCAGAAGCAGAGGCGGGAGGGGCAGCTATGGTCGCTGTTTCTGGAAGGAACAGGAACTCCCCGGGGGTGGTAAGGCAGTGAGTCAGCTAGGAAGTCAAGTGTACGGAGAGGGAAAGCGTAGGGGACTGCGTGAGCCTTGCACTGCTTCTGAGAAATTTAATTAAGTGGATGAAGGGCAACGTTTCTCTATCTTTGGCAAAGAGCAAGATCAGAATGCTTCGGCTGCTGTCCCTCCCACCCCTTTCCTTTCTGTAACAGAAAGAATAAATCCCCAGGTCCTAATAATTGTAGTTCATCTCTCCTCCACTCTGCTTCTTTCTTATATGTTCCCATGGGGAAATATAAAAGTCAGTGTCCATGCCGGCTAGTCAAGTGGTAGTTGAACATTCCAGTTTTGTAATTATCACTTCTCTGTTTCTGATGTGTAACTGCCGTGATTATTCTTTTAGGTGTCACAAGAGTCATAGAAGAAGAGCTCATTTTATGCAGTATATTTTTTTCCCAAAGACAGAATCCAAGGTTGTCTAAAGTCTAAATTGCTTGTGTTGAAGAGTCATGGTTTATATATATTAGGGGTGAAAATACTAATGTTTTGGAAGTACAAGGTGTGATCCAATGGACCTCACCTTGGCAATTTCACTTTTCCATGTCAGATTTATGATTTGTAAATTACAAATCTTGCAGTACTCCACACTTAAGTACTTGTGAGTACTTTAGACTTGAAGTACTATGTTTATTAGCAGTCCTGAAATGGAAAGTATCTGTTAGTTTGCCGGGGCACAAATGTGAATCCCATGCATGGTGGGGCTGCACGTCTGCTTGCATCAGACAACCCCGGAGTGAGCCTAATTTGCTGCCAAGAATCCGCACCTCACCCTGCTGCTATTGATCTCTACTCTTCAAACAACAAACTTTCTGAAACTACTTTTCCAGAGAGATGGCATAGAGCGAACTGGCTTTGGGCGTGGTGGGGCGATGTTGATGGGAATGCAACATTGAGATGAGAGTGGTGTTCTGAAGACCTTTGATGTGTACTGTGGAGACAAGCAGAGCAGAAGTGTGGTTGGGAAGACACACTGTCCACATGTTGCTGTCTATCAGTGGGACACCCGCAGATGTCTAAGGGTGGGTCCCTGTGAATATCTTTCTCCCATGCCACCTTTGGTCAGTGGACAGCAGCAGCTTGGAGGGGACTCCTGGGGAAGACACCGTGCTCTAGGAGAGACTCTGTCAAGGGCACAGGAGGAAGAAGCGACCACATCCGTGCATCCTGTCTGTCCTCTCACCTGCGGTGATGCTTGTTGGAATGATGGTAGAAGTGCACTGGGCATCATGAAGGTTGTCATCATCACCGTTTCATCTTTAGGCCCTCCAGTGTCTGTGGGATAGGCAGGCTGTAGTATTCATTAACACCCATAGTAAAAGCTTCGTCTAGAGGTACAACTTTCTTTATGGATTCCAGATGTTCTAACTTCATCAACAGAGATCACACAGGAGTCTCGCACCGTGGAGTGACTCAGCCATCAATCCCATGTCCCGGAGAAAGGGACAACAGATGCAAAAGCTCCTCGTTTATGTGTGACTCTTCTATTCTTGATACCTGGTCACTGGATGATTGCTCAGCCTGTCTAAGGCTGCCCATTCCTCACCACAGCTGCTTCAGAAACGAGGATTAGCAGGAAGCGTCCACAAGTGAAATAAGTATCCTAACATTTCCCTTTCATTCTTCTCAGTCACTGAGCAGAGTTATAGTCACAGGGGTAGAATTTTTCTGTTTTTTTCTCCTCTCTCTCTCTTACTCTCTCTCTCTCCTTTTTTTTTTTTAATCCTACTGAGCTGCAAATGAATAGTGCTTGCACTCTTCCCTTGGGAGGTATTTAACAGCCAGGCAAGTTCAGCAGTGGGAAGATTGTTTTCCCTGCACATTCCGTGTGAGTACTTGTTGTGGTTTGCAGCTCCGTCCCTTCGGCCCCACACTCTCCCAAGTGTCCACCTTCTATGGGCATCTCTTTCAGTGCATTCCCAGAGGGACTGGGCCTCCTGTGTGTGTCTGGACTGGCCTCTCAGTACTTCTGGTCTCTATTTTATTCACTTGTATAAAATCATGAAGAAGAAAAGCATGTCTTCCTCTTTGCTCACCTCTCTTCTTTTCCCTTTAGTTATTCCCTCTCTCAAAACGGCAGGATCTACCTCTTCCTTGTCATTACTGCACGAAAATGTTCTGATAAAGTCATACATCTAAAATGTCAGGGACTTCAATTCCTACCCCTTTTCTGGGGTGTTTGGATTGCAAGATGGACTGGTCTTGAGAGCTGGGAACCCTCTAAGATGCCAACAGATGCAGTTGAAAAGTTCCAGATCCAATCTGGCAGGGGATGCAGAGAAAGGGTGCTTTGGAGCCTGATATCTGATCTGTTCTGCTGCCTGATTGCAGGCTGAGGAGTGGCCGCTGGGTAGGGACAGATAGATTGTGCTTAGCTTGACCTTCATACAACAGATGTCTAGGGGCGGGTGTGCCAGAAGCTTCTCCTCACTTCTTTCAGACGAACCATGAACAGTGCAGGGGAGAATGGCAAAGCAGAGCAGCTCTTCCCGGAGTGTGTAGAGAGGAGGTGCTAGGGCAGTGTTCTTTAGTGGGGAAAGGGTTGATATGGAAAGAAAGAGTACAAATTTTTCGTCCCAATCTTCCCTCTCTGGCCTTTCATCCCCTTTGTTATCCCAGCTTATTTTTGTGTGCATATGTTCTGTTACACATAGCCTAAACATATTACATATGAATCTGTATGATCTATTTCATCTCTTAATGTCCTATTATGGTGATTTTATGTCATTATAAAACCCTTATAATCATCATTTTTAATGATGCAAAGATATATACTTTATTACTCTGTTTTACTGAAAATTCCCATTTTTTCATTATCATGAGTAATGTTTCATTGATATTTTTATGCATAGTTCTTTAATAACCAGGATTAGGTCTTGGGCCAGTGTCCTAGGAGGCCCATCAGAAATAGAAATGGCTAAAATGTTACACATTTTAGCATATAAGGTTCTACTTCCTCTACACCTGATATCCTGTCTTTTGTCTAGGACCACGTCCTCTATGTTCCCTTTGTTGGTGTCAACCTTTGCTGTTGCATTTTGCCTACTGTTTGAGTCT